GGTTTAGGGTTTAGGCTTAAGGCTTAAAAGCAGGCCTTGAGGAGTAGAACAGGGTTGCGGGGGGGTAGTACAACAAAAAACAGCTCAATCCGCGAACCAGCCAACTCTGCGTCTTATTCAAAACGCGAACCCCAAACCTCCCCCCAAAAAGCCTCGGCAAGTCCAAGAGGCGACTCTGACGAAGCCAGCTTTGTTGCCGCCGGCTGCAGAGCAACCCTCTGATCGGCGGCTGCCCGCAGCAGGTGGCAGTCACGCTGGCTGAGGAAGTTCGGGATGAGCACCAGGCTGTTGCGTGTAAAGAAGGATCCTGGAGACCCAATGGCTACCTCAGCGGAGATCTTAATGTAGGGGTCTTGAGAATTAGGATAGGGTTTGGGGTATAGTATACTATAATGAAAGAAGGAGCCCCAAAAACCCCTATTCTCATTATTATTATTATTATTGTTATTATTATTATTGTTATTATTATTAGTATTATTATTATTATTAAGGCCCCTATATGAACCGCTTCAACCCCCTGATCCCTAAACCCCTAAGCCCTGACAAACTTGAGATACTGGAGTGTGTCAAGTTGGGGCACCAGCCCCGAAAGAGTCGGATGCCAATAAGAGAATGCCATTATCTACAGTTACTGAGCGAAGTCTCAGCATGCAACCCCTAAACCCTTAAAACTCGAAGCCCTAAAGCACTAAACCCTGAAACACTAAACCCTGAAATTCTAGACCCTACAACTCTAAACCGCATCACTCTTAAGCCCCAAAGCTCTAAACCTGAAACACTAAACCCTACAACTCTAAACCCTCAAACTTTAAACCCTGCAACTCTAAGCCCTCAAACTTTAAACCCTGCAACTCTAAAGCCTAAAACTTTAAACCCTACAACTCTAAGCCCTAAAGCTCTAAACCCTAAAGCTCCAAGAACAAGCAAGCAGCCTCGTAGTAGCCGAGCGCCTCTTCGCCAGGTCCCAACGTCTGGACCTTACCATGGTTCCGAGCTCCCCGGCACTAAGTTTCTTATATTTTGGGGTTTAGGGGTTTAGGGTTTAGGGTTTAGGGTTTAGGGGTTTAGGGGTTTAGGGTTAAGGGGTTTAGGGTTTAGGGGTGAAGGGTTTAGGGGTTTAGGGGTTTAAGTGGTTTAGGGTTTAGGGTTTAGGGGTTTAGGGCTTAGGGGTTTAGGGTTTAGGGCCTAAGGGGTGTTCAATCCGGATTGTTGGTTTTTTTGTAGTACTGCGTATACAGCTTTGTGAATACGTTCAGGGCTTCTTTTTATCGTGGTCTTTACGAATTTATACCAGACCTTATCTAAGCTGTTCAGTAACCAACTGGGAAAAGTCTATTTTTTGTGTTATTTATATTATATTAAGAACCAATACCCCAAAGTAAAAAAGGATACTACTGAACATCCTAGTTATGTGGTCAGATAGGAAACCTTTTTGGGTTTTGAGCTCGTGCTACGGGTGTGTGCTACCAGTAAGGGCCCCAATTAGTTGAACAGGATTCCTGTAAAGTTCCGTTGAGGGTTCTACAAGGGTTACTATACGGGTTCTATGAGACAGGCGCCGTGATAATTAGTATAAGGCTTTGGTGTATATTATTTCTATGATAGACAACAACCGACACAAAAGCATGCGATCAGAGATCCCCTAAGAATCATAGACCATACCAGCAGCATACCCAGCACTGCGACCACCAGGAGACTAACCAGGACAGCAAACGGGAGATGTTGCAAGGACCCTGCCAAAATCCTTTGCCCCAAGCACTCGCGAGAGCGGCTTGCTCCATTCGGTTTAGGGTTTAGGATTTAGGGTTTAGGGGCTTAGCCCTCAGCCCTACACCCTAAACCCTAAACCCTAAACCCTACACCCTACACCCTAAACCCTAAACCGGAGCCGACTGGCAAAGTGGAAGGGTTCGAAGTGGGAATCCGGCCAGAGGCGGGTAAGCATGGCGGTTAAATTACCAGCAATATCTCGCTATAGTCGCAAGATAGCATCCGATTACATACCCAAAAACCCCCCCTCCCCCCCCCCAAAAAAAAAGATGTTAAAACCCTATAAACCCTAAACCCCAAGCCCTTAAACTTTAAACCCTAAACCCTAAACACCCCAATCCCTAAACCTTACGCCTGAACCTAAACCTCAGTGCAGAGCTCGAGGCATCGAACCCACTGCCGGTTCGCTCCATAAGTTGACCAGTTGGAACCTTAAGACCCAAACTCCCTAAGCCCCAAGCACCCTAGGGTCTAGGGTTTAGAGTTTAGGGTTTGCTTTAGGGTTTAGGGTTTAGGCTAAACCCTAAATCCTAAACCCTAAACAGGCTTAGTGTTTGGGGTTTAGGGTGAAGGTCGTAACCAGGCCGCGGAATCGCGAGAACCCTAGAATTTAGGGTTGGGGCTTACACCAGTTGTGCGATTTAGGGTTTCGGGGATGTGGGGGTTGAGGTTGCTTCATGATGTGCTTTTTTAAGCTTCTGGAACCCTAAACCCTAAACCCTAAACCCTAAACCCTAAACCCCAAACTCTAACCCTACACTCTAAATAGGGCTGTGGGGGGGGATCTATGCTTCCACCCAGTCGCGTGTAGGGCATCCATCTCTGCTTGGCCGTAGAAGCTCTGCGCTACAGAGGGCGCAGAAGGGAAGACCACCTGGTACTTAGTGTAGGGTTTAGAGTTGCTGATAGACTTTAGGGGGCTTGGGGTTAGGGTTTAGGGTCTAGGAATATAAGTTATGGGTGGGCGGTTTAGGGTTTAGGGTTTCGGGTTGCTGATCGGCAAGCAGGCCTTTAGGCATATTGTCCAGAGGACTGCTTGTCGTATCCACGAGAGCTATCGGATTTTGTAGAGGACCGAAACCCAAAACTCAAAACCCTAAATGAGGACCTCCAAAGCTGTTTTAGAAGGCTAGCAAGGCTTCTAACAGCTTTGTAGCACCTGCCAAGAGGCTCTGCCGTCCCTCCTAAGTATTAGGGTTTAGGGTTTAGGGATTACGGTTGTAAGCTTCGGGTATAGGATTTAGGATTAGGATTTACGCAGGGCTTAGGGTTTAAAATTGAGGGTTTGGGGTCTACGGTTGAGCGTTTATGGTTTGGGGTTTCTAACCACAAAAAGCACCCCAACAGAGCTTCAGGGCAACTCCTTACTGTGCGGGGGTGTTGGCTGGACTCCGCACCCTGACATGAACCACCAGCTCCTCCTGAATAGAGCTAATATCGGGCATGAATAATTGGAATAAGGGTTTTGATGTTTTTTTCTGTCAGAACCATAATAACTATACGAAGGAGCCCTAAGGAACAGTCTTGGAAATGATCGATGTCCCTATGTTAAAGTACTGCTACGTATAGTATATATACCGTACACCCCAGAAGCCCGATTCTACGAATTTTAAGACCCTACAAAGGGAGCCCTGCCACTATTCCGAAAATAACCCTAAAAGGAACAATGCGCAGCATTATGGAGGCCCACTTTCTGATGGCTCACCTCTCCATGGCCGTCTCGGAAAGGCCGGGCACCCGGAAGGGTGATGGGCACCTGAAGCAGGGCTCTTCATTGCGAGCATCCCCAAAATTTAGAATCGCACCCTGAAAGCAAGCCGCAATAGAAGCCTACTGAGCCCCAGTCCAGCTTTATGTTTCTAGGGTTTCGGGTTCAGGATTCCGGATTCAGGTGGGTTTAACATTTAGGGCGTTCGCGCTTGTGGCGAAAGTGCGGTAGGTAGAAAACAGACAAAGGGCAGACAGCTAGCCCTGGCGTTCAAACCGGGTATCAGAGGGCCTTACGGGATGAGTCAGGATCCATTTCGAAGATGTCCCAACATGGGCGTTTCCGAAAATTAGGGGTACCTTGTTTTGGGGTCCTTATAATAAAGAGCCTATTATTTAGGTTACTATATTAGGGTCCCCTATTTTTGGAAACCCCCCACCTGGGCTCAAGAAGTATGAATATCGGCATCGACAGTGCTGGTAGGAGCGTTACCCTTCGGAGCCTCCTGGCTCTGTTCGTTCGTCTTCAACAGACTGCTACTATTGATTCTGACCTCCCTACTAGACCCTAAACCCTAAACCCTAGACTCTAGACCCTAAGCCCTAAACCCTAGACTCTAGACCCTAAACCCTAAACCCTAAACCCAAACAACTCAACCACAAACCAGGTGTTTACTCCAAGTAGCCAGACTCCGAGGATCCACCGAGTAGAACACGACCCGGCAACTCCTTTCCACTTTAGACTCTGCTCCACAACTTGTAGACAAGACTAGAGACGCTTGGGGCTTTAGGGTTTTAGGAGTTGACGCCCTGGGCTTCAGGGTTTAGGGTTTCGGGTTTCGGGGGCGGAGAGATCTTATGTATGTACGATATTTGCTGGGTGTGTCTATGTGTGCATGCTTGAAATGTTGTATACTCTGCACACGCATACATACATATAAACACATAGACATATAGACACATACATGCATGCATGCATACATACATGCATAAATACATACATACATACATACATACATACATACATACGTACATACATGCATGCATACATACATGCATAAATACACACATACATACATACATACATACATACATACATACATACATACATACATAGGTACATACATACATACGTACATTGACATACGTACATACGCACATGCGTGCGTACATACATACATACATACATACATAC